AAAAAAAAAAAGACTGCACTACTTCAGAAATAAGTAAATCCTGATCCTTATGCCCAGGAAACTCAAATAACAGACACATTTAAATCATCACAGCACTCTTAGGGCTTGCTGGGAGGTCTACCAGAGTGTCAGGGAGGTTGAGTGTCTTGAAATCAAATATCATTGTAGGGAAACTCAATTTGAATGATCAAGAGGCGATTATTCACCATGACTTCTTATTTAAAAAGAAAGAATAAGGGCCAGGCACAGTGGCTCACACCTGTGATCCCAGCACTTTGGGAGGCTGAGGCGGGAGGATTGCTTGAGTCCAGATGTTTGAGACTAGCCTGGACAACATGGTGAGACCTATCTCTACAAAAAAAAATTAGCTCTGCATGGTAGCGTGCACCTGTAGTCCAGCTACTCAGCAGGCTGGGGTGGGAGGATCTCTTGAGCCAAGCAGTTCAAGGTTGCAATGAGCTATTACTACGTCACTGCATTCCAGCCTGGGCGACAGAGCAAGACCTTATCTCTAAAAAAATAATAATAATACCAAAAAAATCTAAAAAGAAAGAATAATTCCTATCTTTCAAGGATTCGAGAAGTATGTAACAATCTCATACCGTGTAGGAAAAGGATCTGCCTAGATATTGGTGAAAATATGTATATTTTTCTGCTTGAGCTCTGTGTTCTTGATTTTATTTCACGTCATTTGGCATTTTTGTAATTTGTTTATTAATAGGTTTGTGTCTAGCCAAATTTGACAGTGGCATGTTCTTCCAGTAGGCTCTGTGCCATCCCTTAAGGTATATTCAAAGGTGGAGAGAAAATAAATGCGTATGTGCTACTGGAGGGAAACAGAAGGAATTTCCTTAAAAGATGAAATATGTGTTTGTAATTGCACAGTGACAGCAAATGTAATAGGCACCTCAAATTACCGGCAAGACAGAGATGTTTAGTACTGCACAGGAAGAAGACCTTCTCACAGCTTCAAAAAGAGGAGAAAATGTAGTGTTTTTAATTCCTCAGGATATGCAAATTAGCCAAAACATTGATTCATATAAAAGTCAAGTAATGTTTGTGAAAGAAGTCACATGTGCTTTGAATGGCTTTTGAACATGCTCCTCGGGTTCACTTGGGTTTCTGGGCACATCTCTCTGTTATCTAGCCAGGTCACGGGAATGATTTCACTTGCTGTTGGCCTATCTGAGCTTGCTTACAAATCCTGAACTTCGGAGCATAGAGAATTTGAAAACAGGAGGAGGCTGGAAACTGTGGTGTTCACTATGACTCAGGACCCTAAGTTTTTACCAGTCATCATGGTCATTTCCCAGCCTGCATCTCAGGGAGAAAACAGTGCTGCCAACTTTTCTTACTCTTCTTTCCTACTTAGGAAAGCGGGGGTGGGCAGAACCAGAAAAAAAATTGGGGCTTCTTATTATACTGTTTTTTTGTTTTCTTAGAGATGGAGTCTCGCTACGTTGCCCAGGCTAGAGTGCAATGGCTCATCACAAGCATGATTATAACACACTACATCCGCAAACTCCTGGGCTCAGGTGATCCTCCTGAGTAGCTGGGACCAGGGCACACGTCCTTATACTCTTAACACGTCGACTGCCACACAAAAAAAATCAGAAACTTTTCCTTGGGGACACAGTGTTTTATTACGAAACTAAAATAAAAACTTTGAGTGTAATTTAAAGGTAAACATAAACAGAAAAACCAAATTTATTGTCTTCTATTCATTTAATCCACGTTTTTAGAATTAAATTGTTAATATTAATTGTAACAATACGAACATCAACAAGTAAGATTTTATATATGCTTCACGCAGCCCTGGGGTCAAAAGTAGAGGCAGTTAAAAACAACACTCAGGGCAGTTAATGTGTTAAATGTGTTCCTTTTCAGGGAGAAAAATTACTACAAATTTAAAACATCAAACATCTATCATTCTTTATTTTATTCTTTATGATAGTCAGTATATAGGAGAGAAGACAGATGCCTCCAGAAGTTAGAAATGGGATGATAGTAAGAATTGAAGTGCTCTGTAGAAGTGAGCCAGGAGCATAGCCTGAGTAGGTTTGGATACACCTGCATTTAATGAAGGTGATGTACGTAAGCCTGAGAATTCAAAAGTCATTTAAAAGAGATGAAACCTAATCACTTGTATTCTGTTTTAACTGGAAGAAAAAGCTATATTGTGACAGCCTAGGAAAAAATGGGGAAAGGAGGCCAGCAGGAGAGAAAGTTCGTCCTTGTTTATCCCACTGTGTTCAGGAAGGGACACTGAGCCTATCAGAAGGTAAAATCCCACCCACTAAGAGACAGTCTCTGTGTCAGATTTCACCACAGCCTGGATGAAATGATACTTAATAATAATAGCTGTGACTAATTAGGCACCTACTGTATTCCAGTCTGTGGGTTAGGTTCTTTTTTATAGTACATCATTTAATCCTCATAACTCATCTGCATTTCATGAATAAAGAAACCAGGGCTCAGCGAGGTTAAATGACTTGCCTAAGGTTACACAGCTAATGGGTAGCAGAGCTGAGATTTGAATCTGGATCTGTCTGACCTTGAACACTGTACTTGGTTCATTTGTTCAAAAAATGGCTGGGCACAGTGGCGTGCAACTGTAATCTCAGCTACTTGAGAGCCTGATGCAGGAGGGCTGCTTGAGCCCAGTAGTATGAGGTCAGCCTGGGAAACATGGAGACCCCCATCTCTAAAGAAGTAAGAATAATAAAGAGTGGCAGCTAAGTGCCAGGAACTGTTATGCCCTCAGGGAGCTTACATTCTAGTGAAGGGAGACAAAGAAAGAAAGAAAATATTTAATCCGCCAAATGGTGATAACATCGTGATAAAGCAGAGATGGTTACTAGGAAACACCGGGATGAGAAGCTGCAGTTTTAAATTGGGCTGACAAGGAAGGCCTCACCGAAAAGGCAGCCCGCAGTGGGTCAGAGCATGAGCCTCAGGGATTATGGAGAAGAGTATCGTGAACAGGAGGTGCAGAAGATCTCTTCTGTTTTCCCTTGCTCTCCCACAACTGCCCACAACCCTTGTCCTGATTTTAGGCTGGTTTCTTATTTGGGTTTCTTATTTCTTATTTGTTGGTACCCTTAACAACGCAGTTACTAGAAAGGCATATTTCCCAGGATAGGTTAATAAATTGGCCTCTGATCTATGTAGCAGTCTCTGGTAAGGTCATTTAGGGTAAGTCAGTCTCTAAGAAACTGATCAGAACCCAGGGCCTAAGTGGTCATGGCACTGGGCTCAGATCTTGGTTCCACTGCACACTGACCGTGACACCAAGTGAGTTTTCCTCAGCCTCTCCCAGCATCACTTTCCTCATCTATAAAGCTAGCAATATTTACTATGCAGTGTGGTCGCGAGTATGAAAGTGACGACGTAAAAGATGTAATATGTGTTGGACTCTTAAGATGTATGTGGATTTTTGTAGGCCAGGCATGGTGGCTCACGCCTGTAATCCTAGCTCTCTGGGAGGCCGAGGCGGGCGGATC